TATAGTTTATATAGGGAAATAACACTTTTCGGTATATATTTTATCCATTTTCAGCAGAAAATTGCTCAAACTTAGTCAGAATCATCTTGGGTAACTGATAGTTTTACTTTGTAAAATTAGGATTCCTGCCCCATCCCCAGGGGCTAGGGTGGGGCCCCAAAGGGAACATTTACCAATATTTTCAAATTCTTATCCATTGATGACATGACAAGTATTGTATTTCACTTAGTTTACATGCAGATTTCCACATCACATCTAAACAATAAAATAAAGCTACCAGTACCTATGATATAACTCAGGTGACCGCTAAGGCCCTTGTGCCTCTTGTTTAATCCCAGCCCCTACTCAACGAAGTTAGCAGAGGATGAATAAATGGATTCGGTCTCGCCCTCCATTCCCATTAAGAAAAAGTGTTGGGTCCATTTCTGTGTAGATCTAGGTAATACATGCATAATGATGGCATCAATGACACAGCTATAAGGACACTGATTAATGTGTGTAGATGCTGAATTTGACTTACATTTTAGACTCCAGTGACTTCCTTCTACATTGTACATCAGTGCACATTAAGAAAAGTTGTGTAAGTCCATATCTCAGTAACAAAAACTTTTATATGGTTAATACTTAAATTAATGAGGCAGGTAGGGTTGCTCTACTGAATGCATACATGCATGATGAGGATGCTTAAGCTGACCTTTCATTAAACACTTCAGTGCCTTTCTTTTATTTTAAGTATAAATGTAACGGGAAAGAGAATAGTGTGCTTCCACCGGGGATCGAACCCACGATCTCCAGGTTCCTAGTCGGACGCTCTACCGCTGAGCTAAAGGAAAATTCGCTCTAGCTCAAAGCTAGAAGGCGACCTTAATCCTATGTACAATTGAACCCTGCCACATAAATAAACTTTAACCTTAAAAGGGAATTGCATATCTTGGTAATTGTAAATGCTGCATAGATATTAACTTTAAAAAAATGTTCAGTGTTGCAAACTAAATATATTTGTCATTATATTAGAGCAATTAAAGGTTATTTATTTGATTTGAATTATTCTGTTAGAAATATATAACCATTCACAATTGTATAATTTACACAGAATTAAGTCTGTGAATTTACTAAATTTTGACATGGACATCTGCTATGGACTTATCTATGAAGTAGTGGATATTGATGACAGCACGTTTTTGTTGGGTTTAAAAGTTTGTATGATTTTGTTTCAATTTAACATTCTTATCAAAAACTCCTGTTTCATTGGTATTGGACAAAAACAGATAATGGTTTACCCTGATTGACTCTAAAAATAATTTGTTTAAGGTGGAGGAAGTTGGTTCATATTCTTCTATCTTTGACCTATGGTAATCTTGCCTCAAAAGCCACTTTAAACTCTTCTCCAAACTTCAGCTAAAATGTATATAAGAATATGACATGCACAGTACAGGTGATAAAGAATTAATTGTAATTGGGGTGGTGGTGGGGTGAGATTGTCATAGGGGGTAAGAGATTGTTAATTAAGTTACTGCTACATTTAACCTACATACTTTTGCTTATTTTTTTTCACTTTTGTTTTAAATGTGTGTATTGGAGTGGGGAAGAAAAGCTCTACGCTCTGTCAATATTAGACTCGCATTTAGTTTATGTGATTATTTTCTGGACTTGAGCAAGTCTAATTGTTCTTCTTGTGCAGGCCCTTAAAATGTTTCTCGCACTGTCCGAGTCTACATCAATATTGACGGCGTCATTAATATGTTCTTGAACATATATTTAATTTATGCAGTAATGAATATAAGAACCTTAAAAATACAATAGTCAAAACGTAAACAAATAACGACATTGCGTCCGTACGGTGATCCGGATGCGGTTGGGGAGCGGTCCGTGTATATTTAAGACGATCGCAGCGCAGCTTGTCGTCATAATGAGGAAACCTAACGTATTTCAACTGCTGGCTTACTCGTTTACTAGTTGACTAGCTAGCTATTTCTGAATTAAAACTTTGTTTCGAATTTCTGTTTTTACAAAAATGACGAAAGCTTCAGATCAACCGATAGAATGTACTGAGTATATAACATCACGTAAGTCTGGAATGGATTGAATACTACAAGCTAACACGAAATCGCGATCGGTAAAACTAGCATAGCATGGAATGAAAACTAGCATAGCATGGAATGAACACGCAATAGATTTGTAAACGAGTGCAACAACAAAAATGAACACAGCATGGAAAAAGACACTTATCAACTAGGGAATTAATACAAATGAACATAGAATTAATACAAATGAACATAGAATTAGATTCCAAACCAGAAGTAACTAATTCTATAACTTGTCAACTAGGGAAATATTACAAATGTACATAGAATTAGATTCCAAACCAGAAGTAACTAATTCTATAACTTATCAACTAGGGAAATAATACAAATGTACATAGAATTAGATTCCAAACCAGAAGTAACTAATTCTATAAAAAATAATTATGGCGGTGATCCCCTTCCATATACATGTATATATGATACCATATTTGTACCGGATTATGAATAAAGCGACACAGTTGAGTTATAATTGTGCATACATGCAATTATTCAATTTATTCGAATCCGCAACTTCTCATTGATAAAACACACACAATGTATATTATAAACATGTGCTGTATGATTATCCAACAGTTTTAAAAATACCACCATACATCGTACATTAACCATTCTACACATGTATACCAGCAACATAAACACCAACACTTCCATTCACTGCTCTAACGAACATTATTCATATAAATGCTATATCATGTAAAAAGAATATGTGGTAAACTGCACAATATTAAATACCAATAAATAAAATGTGTAGTGTTAACGGATTATGAAACCCCTCTATATTTACCCATACTCCATATGGTCCTTTGGCGTAGAATTTTCATATCATAACAATGCTTTTAGGAAAAGCTGTATCACAATCAAATGTATGTGAATAATTTGAGAAAATAACGTTACAATATGTGTAAACGAGTTACAGAATTGCTAAAATATAACGAAAAGAGCATGCCTATGTGGACCAGGCAAAAAGCTGACAATCCCAACAATGCCTTTCACCACGGGGATTTCGATTCTGGTATTGGATCAGACTTATCTTTAAATAAACAATGTTCACAGACGATGTGTATCACAAGTGGAGCACAACAAAGGCATCATTCCTCAAAGTATAACGCACCAGGAATCATCTGAAAAAAAAACAAAAGACATCTTTAATCATCACCACGGATCACAGACACAAGTTTCAATTTCAATATTTTTTGTCAAAAGACAAATGTATTGGGAAGCAGGCATGGCCTATTTAAGCCCTCTCCACACACAGTAACAAACATTGGTTCATGCAAGACATAGACATAGACATTAGAACTCATATAATCAAAGTAGGGGAAACAACTACTAAGTCCTATTTTTATTATAATTGAATCTAATGGTTTAAATTCTAACCTTTTATTTTAGTACCAAAAAGATCACAACAGTCACAGGATCAATGTAATGATACAATTTATAATACAGTTTATGACAAAAATACGTACAACAGTAAAATAGGTATTGGTCCTGACAGTAACGACATGCTACTATTGTTATGGAGGTGATGGGATTGGTTTGGTTTAACTTTGCTTAACGTCCAATTAACAGCTAAGGTCATTTCAGGACGTGCCTCCATGTGTGTAGTGTATGTGTGCTTGTGTGTGTGTATGCAGGATTCAGCTAGGGTATGTTGGTGTGCGTGCCTCCTTGTGGTAGCACGGATCCGTTGCCGACTTTATAGTGTTATCTCACTGAAATACCATGCCGAAGGCACCCAGCACAGCATTCCGCCCGGTCACATTATACTGATAACGGATGAACCAAGTGTTACCATTCCCCTAAATGGGACTGTGGGTGGTACACTGTACATGGTATGCAATGTACTGCTAGTATCTTGTTGACGTAGCGTTTTACGTCAACGTTCGCTGCACAATGGGTTTAAGCTAGGTAGGGCTCTGTTAGCGCCAATAGTTACTTCCCACCAACCTATCCTAATAGCTGGGCAGTGTTATGTCAGCGCCATTAGTTTCCCACCAACCTCTCCCAATAGCTGCGCAGCGCTATGTCAGCGCCATCAAACTCCCACAGTAGCTGGGCAGGGCTCTGTCAGCGCCAATAGTTACTTCCCACCAACCTATCCTAATAGCTTGGCAGTGTTATGTCCGCGCCATTAGTTTCCCACCAACCTCTCCCAATAGCTGGGCAGCGCTATCTCAGCGCCATTAGTTTCGCACCAACCTCTCCCAGTATTTGGGGAGGGCTATATGTCAGCGCCATTAGTTTCCCACCAACCTCTCGCAATAGCTGGGCAGCGCTATGTCAGCGCCATCAAACTACCACAGTAGTTGGGGAGGGCTATGTCAGCGCCATCAGTTTCCCACCAACCTCTCTAAGGAGCATTATAGAATTGGTGGCTGCTACAATTTCATTGTTCATACATGGGGTTTGGGTACGGGGTTATGTCCTCTTAGCTACTGTTCCATGGTAATTAAGGTATTTGTCCAGTAGAATTGTTACTAAAAACGTGTAACATATGTAAACAGAAGTACATGTATTAATACTGATAGGTATTACAGGACTGTGACTTATTCCACAGGTAACACGTATGCCATTATTCCTCAATAAAAACAATCATTGACAATAAACCTATTAAACTCATAATTTAAAACCTAAATAACGTTTATTAGCTTACCTTGCTTTGCCGGTTGGATTCTAGGGGGCGGTGTGTAAGACCTGACGGGAGAGGCCCTTGGAGGGGGGCTATAGCTATAATTCGATGTTGAGAAGTTGGGACTGCCGCCTAATCCATACATCCGTGTGGAGGCACTACTAGTACTGTGAGGACGGGTCCTGGAATTCTGCCAGTCGTTAATACACTGCCGTAGTTTTTCCTCGATAAACGGGTCACCTCGGATTCGAATCGAAGTACCCATATTCTGCGACGTGAATTGTTTATTAAACAGAGTTTCTTCGAATTCACGTTTAACAACTTTAACCGTTTGAAATTTCCCGACCTCCTCTAGTTTTCGAAGGAGATAAAGTCTGCGGTTCCCTCGTACTACAAACCAATGACCATTATAATGCATGGCGACCAGTGGCGGCATCTCGCCTCGGGCAATGCGAAGCTCATCGTTCAATAACTGCCTAAATGTTTCATCAAGTGTGTGTCCATCGGTGAACTTGTAACTCACACTGTTATGTGTGAACCGTAATTCCGACGGCCGCATATGTTCCACACCCATCGTCATACCCCCAGGGCGCCCACTTTGATATTCGATGTACACGTGTAAACCTTGAATCGTTGTAGAATCCAACGCTGGTCCCTCCGTCACTTTGATTCTAAGATTCCTGCTTCCCGTTATAAATTAATCGTCAACGTGGAAGAGGTCAGTCACTTCACCCGCTACTGTTAACAGTGTCTTTAACGTCACAGTTCTTAGTATATCGATAGTTCTACCTTCGGTTTGTATTTCTTGAAAAATACATCATTAAACGAACGTATTATCAGATATTCTATTTTGATGTCAGTGCACGATATAAACAATGCAGTATTCCCGTATTCTATCTTTTCTAACAACACGTGTCTTTAGTGTTCATGTTAGTCGGTTACGTGTGTTACGGAGCACAGTCCGATGTCTCCCGATATTGGACTAACCTTGTAAAATTTCGCCTTTCCGAAAATGACATGCCTACTTTCGCTTTCACGTTTTCGCAGAAAAATCAGTACAACCTACTCAAGCACTCCGCGTACACGTGTATAGCATGTTTTCTGAATGTCAGGAGAGATGTTTTCAGAAAACACGTTATACGTTCTAGACATAAATGCAGAATGTGTTTGCCAAATGATATAAAAACCAGTGGTTGAAGGAATTTTAAAGATTGTTATATTTTTTTGTCTATTAATTGATTGCTTAGGTTTTATTTATGACTATAGGTCTTACATGTAGCATATAAATCTGTTTGTTACGTTTGATACCGACTTCAATGCCGATCTGTTAGTACAACCACTTCTGTAACGATTGGACTCTATAATATATAACGATGATATAATCATCATCTTCCTAACCAATGTCAATATATATAATTTTAAAAATACTGAGGGATAAAATGGAGGACATGGTTTAACAGGGCGTAAACTATCGTTCGATACATTTGCCTCAATGTTGCAATATGTAGTCGAATTCGACGGATTTTGATTGTTCCACGTGAACAAATTTAGAACACGTAGATGTTTACATACATATGATATATAAATAAGAAATAAGACATACTCTGGAATAGATAGCGACAGTAGACAGTAGGCACTATTTACAATCAATACACGATAGACTGTTCCCATGTACTGCTGACAACGATAACAGTACACGTGTTACGCAATCACAATATATCGTACAACCGTATCTGCATGATATCATGTCATTATTTACAGCGCAATGCAATTCATTTTATAAAGCTCTGTTATTTTTTTAAACGAAAAGCGGCCATGAATTCTTCGAAAATGAAAGTAAAAGCAGCTTTGGTGTAAGAATATATAGAAATACATGTTTATAGTAGATATGGTGTAAGGTACGTAGGAGTACGTGTTTATAATTGGACGTATTACGCGTTTTGATAACTTGATCCTGGAAGAAGGTTCGTTCGGTGACCATCAACGAATAACACTGGCTGTGGTAAGCATTGGATACCGTTATATTGTCAACTGTTGTCATGTACAGACCCACTCTCTTATATCTTATAACTATGGTTGTTCATGTACGTATGTCATTATGGAACCAACATTCCGTGTAACATGTACATATGCTGTATGTTCCCTTTTGCCCTTTTAACATTTTCTGTTCCAAAAGTGTTGGTGCAAGACAGCAAGAGGGGGAATTATAGATTTTGTATCATAGAAATTTGTATTCTTGTATTCATACAGATGTGCAGGGGTAACATGTAAAAACTTGGTTAACAGTCCGAAGGACTACCTAAACCCGTAACGTTAGCATGGAGATTCTCACCTACGTTATATATCGTTAATACATATTACTGTGTTGCCCGATCAGAACAGACACGGTGTAACTGTTGCCCGATCAGAACAGACACGGTGTTGCCCGATCAGAACAGACACGGTGTTTCCCGATCAGAACAGACACGGTGTTGCCCGATCAGAACAGACACATTAACAATTCACAACTAAATAAAATAATAACTAAAATATGTTGCTTCTGTAATTTAAACTAATAACTGAATGTGACAAAGTGTAAGATTTATATTTGATTATGTATCGATGTATATCTGTAAATTATATTAGTTGCTTCATAAACACCAAATTGAAAGTAATATAAACAACTGAAAACTATAATGAAAATACAACCGATATACTAGATAAATGTTAGTATACATATGTGTGTATAAACTGATATAAACTATACATACACATATATATATTGTTAGCAGGAAACTGTGTTTTATACTTTTTATAAAATTTATTGTTTATGAATTCATATCTATTACATTGTATTTCAGATAACATAGTTGTATAATGCTGTAAATGACCAGGATCATCCGATTTCAACACAGCTTTGTTATATAATTAATGTAAAAGTCCAGGTGAGCTTATGGTTCACCCTCTCTCTCTCTTCTCTCTACATATATACATATCTCTGTTTGCTTTCCGAACAAGATGCACTCTGGACATTTGCTGACCTTTTTCAAGAGAAAACGGACTACAGACTCCAAGACAACATTGATCTGCCCTTGTTTATGTAACAACTGTAATTAAAGGGAGAAATGATAAGATGGCAAAGTGTATTCACAAATGGAACAACTACAAGCTTGCAGAGTCCTATTTTCAATTTGTTCAAACTACTTATGTAGGTTTTTGGTTTCATGTTAGAATTATATTTAAGAGCCATTGAACGAACTGTTGCATGTAATCGTTTTCACTTTTGCAGAAAACATAAGATGAAAGATGATAACCAACGATTTTCCCTCTGAAGTGAGATATGAAGAGGTAGCACCACCAATATATAGAAATCATTGCACACCGGTCAGTACAGGAATATCTCATCGATTTCTACTACCGCTGTCTTCGAAAAGATCAACCGACAGATATGCCAAAATCCTTATCATCGTCGCTATATTGCTGGCTCTGTCCTGCGTTCTACTGGCCATCTTTACAGCTCTTCTGTTTGCTAAGTTAGAGCGGGTCCGAGGTGATTTGAGTGATTATTCCAACACTATAGCCGACCGAAAGATATGCTTCCTTTGTGCTCAGCTGAATGTATCCCAGTTTGATCCCGATGGGAAAGCTGCTCTGAAACTCTTGGATGTGACTTTAGATGACAACGGAAATGACGTCTGCTGTGCTAGTGACGCCAGGCAAACCAAATCTTTGTTCGAACTGGTAAGATATGTCAAGCATCCTTCAATAAGAATTAAAAATAAGAATTCTGACATAATATTATCGTCTTCACCTATATTCTGACTAAATGAAAGGCAGTAACTACAATATCTTTCAACTTTAAATTATTAATTTGTTTGGTGTATCAGAACATTAATCTGTTTATACAAGTAAGCTTGTTATGTATTTGTTTATTTCTCAATTGTAGGTATATAAGAAGCAACCTAAGACAACTTGTTTAAAAGGTAGGCTACAATACTTATAATTTAAGGCCTAAATAAAAATGATCGGGTACGAAAATGTCGAATGTTAAAATGTTTGTATGTCCAAAAATGTCACTGAAAAAATATTAGACTTACAAAGTGCAAGATAAATGTACATCGCAAAGTAGGGTTGTAAGAAGTTTCCAGATTGAATTAAGTTCCGTTATGTTTCCAGAAATGGTCACAAAATATATCCATCGATAGTCGTTCAGTGTTGTTCGTACTGTTCAACCTATTATATATAAAACTAAGCCTCTCTAACAATCAGTTGTACACTAGACAGAATAAGTTGTTAATCGAAGTACAATATTGTGATGTTGCTGTTGTAGGGACAGCTAATCCCGAGACACCGTGTGATAGCTCCCTTCCCTCCCCTACCACAACCGGGATGTCAGCCGCACATCTCATCGCTGGTCTCCAGAGCATGGGAAACGGTGAGTCGATATTAGGGATGTTGGGGTGCCTCTGAACTAGAGCATACACGTAGTGTGATGTTGGGGTTGTCGGGGTGCCTCCGAGCTAGATCATACACGTAGTGTGATGTTGGGGTTGTCCGGGATGGGTTTCATTTCACTCCTTTTTGTGATGTGTTTTCAGAAATTAGAGTATCGTTTATCAAGTCCTATTTTCGTATCCATCCTTCTGTGTTTAGGTTAACGGATTAACTGTCTAGCAAACATTGAAAATTAATTAGAAATTTAAGCAATTATTACGAGGAACTCTCTATTATAAACGTGTTAATTATAGTAAAGCTGCTTTTGTAGAATGGTATAAGAGACATATGCTTCCTTTTTAAATAGAGTGCATAATCTATGTTTACTATTATTATACTGTGTTATGATGTAGCGTGATTGACTTTGAATTTTTGTTATTCACTGAAAATTTGGTTATTTAAAAGCTTGCTTGTATTATTTCACAAACAATTAAAGCATGCTTCATAAGAGCCCGATTAAAGTTTCCTTCTGGGAAATTGTTATGCATGTAATAAGACTATAGAATTGAATCGATAGCATGTGCTCTCCGCCATTGTATAAGATATTTGCAAAGTATTGTGCAATATATATAACTTTTATAAACGCATATGCAATGTGGATTTGGTAATAAACTCAATTTAACGCAATTGACATTGAAAATTAGCTAAAACCCACAAAATTATTTCCTCGTATAACTGAGAAAACATTGAATTGATTCAGGTCCGTTATAGAAACAAGTTTTTAATCTGTTTCAACAATCCAATAGTGTGATAATTGCATAACTTGGTTTTTACACTCACTATCGTAACTTAATCGTAGATGCTGACACTGCGCATATCCGGAACTGGCGCACTGATGACGTGACGACATATCTCGAGGGCCTCCAGTTGATCAAGGACAGGCTTGTCATTAAGGACACTGGTCTGTATTTGGTATATAGTCAGATATATTTCTCTAAGAACGTCGCTGCGACCGCCCTGAGATCGGCCGTCCTTCTCAAACACTCTGTGTACCGGTATAATGTCATCTACCCCAATAGCGGGAACCAGGCTCTCATGGACAGTCACGGGACGATGATATTTGACCCCGTGACGGCACACAGTGCGCTCACAAGCTTCACAGCTGCTGCTCTCCACCTGGTGGTAGGGGATCAGATATACGTCACAGTTTCAAATATGTCATTGGTGTCAGGTGACGAAAAAGCAAGCTTTCTAGGTGTGGTCAAATTTGAATAAGGCAACAAAGTTCGTCGACGTAGCATAGTGCTCTAGTAAATATAAGATGTTTTTTGTATAACCTATACAGATTATAGACAAGGAACCAAATAATCCAAAAGTGTCCAACGAGTTCTTGTTTGCCTCTTACATTTAATGTACGATGTAACAATGCGTGTTCGACTATCCGCTGCATGTATACACTCGCTACTGCTCGCAGACTGAACATCTTTTTAACTACATTTAAAGGAATGTAATGCGGCGAAACAGGACTATGCAAGTTAATTAAACGTCCGTGTATCAAATCCTGCAGAGACTCGAATGACAGCAATTATGGATCAAACCTAAGCCGTTTGACGCTAAACTCAAACAGGATTGGTTTTCACATCGATAATGTATGGTGGTTTATTTAAGTGATTTCTTCATATCATTTATACATTTGCGAAAAGGAATCGTATCAGATAACCCCATACAAAGTTTACTCACGAAACACATTTAGCTTTAGATGAGGAGAATATCTTTCCATAAAGTTATGTACTGTTATATAATTTGTCAGCGTTGAATGATGTCTCTTCTTAGAAAAAAGGGGAAGGGATCGTTTTGGTTTTTTAATCAGAACGCATAAACACTACTACTTTGGAAAACAGGAAATGTTATCCATAAGGACAAAGGCACGACAAAAGCCTAAGGTATTTTTAATTCTTGTGATAAGATTGTTTTAGATCATAGTGAGAAGAAAAGGCTATTTGTGTCAAGAAAATATATATGAATATATGAGTATTTTAGCAGCATTGAATATTGTTTATGAAGTTTGAATATCACTTTTAGGTATAGAAATAAAATAGACCTGCGATATTATTGTATTAATTTTGTGTGTGATAAAATCTCATTGTTTGATCGATGATTTCGCTCTGAAAATAAATGGAAGTGAAGTTAAAGACTTTCGTTCTTCATTTCAGTCAGGAAGCATAACCACTATTTTGGGAATGTGAAATATGTTAGCCATACATAGAGAAATGCACGTCCAAATCGATATGTAATCATTTGCATTAAAGTATCAAATCACAGAACTAGGTAGAACTGGAAATAACTTGATGGTTATTACTGTCGGGAAAAGGGAAACACAATATAACACAAATGATATAGTCTTCCGTAAAATAACAAAATCACTTTTAATAAAAATAATCATTATACATGATAGTTTTTAAATCTCTAAAAGACAATGTCTAAACGATAGGTGATTGTGCTCAGAAATCAATTGGTCAAAAGAAGTGATATTTTAAATTTAAGCTGAGAAGAACTATTTCTCAACAACAACAGTGTCTACTAATAGATATTGCACAAAAAAAATCTTGACACATTTTTGTAACAGAGATCAAAATATGCTGAAGTCTTTAACCCTAGGAAAATGGCACGTCCAGAGGAAACATATTTGCGACGGTTGTGTGAACAAACAATGCGCACATTTCGTGAGAAAACTGTGCTAGATATAAAGATGAAAATTGAAAGTCGACCTTTAATTATTTTAAAAAGACTGTTTCACATCAGCATAGTCCACGGGTATCATCTTAAAAACTACTTAAAACTATTTGAGGCATAAAAATCATTAAACGTGTATAGTAGTTGCCCTTATATATGATTTGTTACTGATATAACTTATCCAGTATCTTTTTGTTTAAAAGTTTTCCACTGGTTAACCCTATGGTGGTTAGATATGGGCGGAAACCACTCCATTACTTAGGGCCATCAAAAACAAATGACAAGGATGAAGAGTTATTTCCAGTTGACCACTCAGCCCGATAATGTTGGGATTCTGATTTGGACGGCAGACATTGTGTTGGTCCCACACACAGTGCATATATATATGTATATATAACACTTGCCTTTGTGTATTGCACATAAGTCTGTCTCAATGGGTAATCCATAAATCAATACAGTATTATCTAGTCTATTACTATTTTATTTATAAACTACATATCATTTAAGTAGCAATACAGAAACGCCAAACAAAATAATTGGGTCATTGAATTGCTTAGTATATCACAACATTATTTTTAAACGATAACTGTTTTGCAAAAGGCAATAAAGAAAAACCAAGTTATTGAATTCCATAACTAGAAAACCGGCAAAACTGAAACTAGCAACAACAATGAAGCACATGAGGTATGTGACATTCCACTCATCGCCCTATGTTACCTACCTAAGGATGTAGGATATCAGACAGAGTATCAGGTTGACACACAATGTATTGGTTTATCTATTTCCTATTTGTAAATCCCTCTACTATGGCGCGATACAAAACCAATACACACGTACTCAAACAACACTAAACAGTGACGCTTTATCAGCTCCTACTTTTGGTTTCGCTTTATACTACTTCGCATATTCACAGGTCGATAACAGAAAACATTGTTAACACAACGCGACTATTGATTCATGAATATAGGTCAATGGAAAAACAATTGGAAATTACAAAAATATTAGTCATGTACATTTTTATATGTTCAACGAATCAGATAACACCTCATCGAAAATGCATGCATTTGTTGCTAGAAGACTTAGATAACAGCCTTAGTCTTTACGAGTATTCTGTCTATATCCAGATATGTATATCATCTCTGATCAATATAGAAGTATTATACAAAACGCCTGTCTGCCTGATAAAATGATACCAAATACCTGAATAAATATGACATTGAAATATCAGATATGCTATACGTATCTGTACTTGCTGTCGGCCTGCTTATTTATCTTACATCGTAATAATTCCCTAGTCCATGTTTGTATAATTAACTGTGATTGTGTATTAAATGAATTTGTTACATATCAACATGTATTTTATACGGTGATTTATGAGTTTGTATTTTGATTGAGAAAATATCCTTAATTTTTTATAGTTTGCTGGCAGTCAATATGTATGCGACCTATAATGTTAAAGTGTTTTACCGGCGATACTCCGATGTATTTATATGTACCCGTCGAAACATAATTATCATTGATGCATTTTAATTAGCACCATTTATTCTTTATGTTAAAGGGCCTATAACTTATGCAAATATTGGATCATGAAATGCAAACAAATGTCTGAAAAATAGATATATATTTGGAATGAAGGCATATTCGGGGATAGAATATCGAGTTAAACGCAATGTATAGGCATGTATGCTGATAGAAAGTTAAATAAAAAGTAATAAACAAAATTATTGCAAGATGAAATGTGGTGAATTCCCCGACATTCTGCTGTGTGGACAATGCACTTTAGAAGTACTGAGAAACGTAAAAAAAAACATCTTTTCTACAGTCAGACAGCCCACAAACACATTTGAAAAAATCTTAATATCGTTTTCCGCTTTCTGAAGGAGAACGATTGCAACTATTGCAGATATCGGGATAGGAATCGGAAAGGATTTCAAAATTTGCGTTGAAACACTAGAATTTAAAACATTTCCGGGGTTCCAGTTTTAAGTACAAAAAGTCAGTTTCGGTCACTACAATATTTTATAAATGACAGCTGGCTTAGCTGATGTACAATGACTTTATCATAGATACATTTGTAAACATTTACACGAACGTTTTACTAATTCAGGCATTTCATACTTTTTCATAACATTTTGATAAGATGAGAGTAGCTGTGATTTTTATTGGTACAAAACACGCCTCCCCTGAAATATGAAAATTAAACATGCTTACGTTACCCGGGAAAGCCAATGGTACATATATATAACATTGATCTACGTATGTCACTATCTATAACACTCACAATCACACAGGGGCGATTTAGTTTTCACAACCGTCCCAAAATAAATCAGGAAAGATATGATAAGAGATCCACATGTTAAAAAAACGTTTGAGGAAGTATTCAGTCTACCCTATTTATCTTAAGTGGCAACATCACAACTCAGTTATGCATAGATACACTTTTTATGTTAGCTTGAGCAATAGTTTATTCAGATTTTTGAGAATAAATTTATAAAAATCACTAATCTGTGCGTGTTTTATTACCTATATTTCTTGTTTGATATTACTATTTTAACGTTTTACACTTTGGAAATCGGTTGAAAACGAAAGGTTTTCACATTATTGGAAAGACAACTTTTCAGTAAACTGTTCCTTGTACAAGCATACCTATGATGTCATTGTATATTCCTTCCTCGTAGGTGTTTACCAGTACACTTCCCTGTTCGGGGGTCGGTCTTTGTTATGTTTACTTAGCAATTCATCAAAATGGGTCACCGATCTAACTAGTTTGTTGTCCTACACCCGACTGCTGATAGATGCTGTCAGTTTATAAGACTGGAAGAGAAAGGTGTGTATGATTAGCGATATACTGTAAAGGCAGACTGCTAATACTAAACATTGACTGTCTACGTGCCTGTCTGTAAAGCTTTACGGAAACGATAAAGCATTGATATGATCAGTGGTAAAGGTATGAAAAAGAACAACTCATACCTATTTATTTCAATAGTACATACGTCTGTACTTGACCAAAGCTGCAAAATTCATACAAACGTATATTTCTTGTGAGTTTAAACGCTGCGATTTGACGCTATCTATTATGGTCTTGTTTGCTTTGAATATGTGATATACTTTGTGTATTGGTGCTGTTTCATATTTTGTCCCTGTGTGTTGGTGCTGATAAATATTTTGTCTATGTCTGTTGACGTTGTAAGATATTTTATCCCTGTGTGTTGGTACTGTTAGTTATTTCGTCCCTGTGTGTTGGTGGTTTAAGGTATTTTGTCAATGTGTTCTGACGCTGGTACATGTTTTTTTCCCAGTGCGTTGGTGCTGCTACATATTTTGTCACAATTTTTGTCAAATATTACTGCTACATATTTTGTCCCTGTGTGTTGACGCTGTTACATATGTTGTCCCTGAGTGTTGGTTCTGTTAGATATTTTGTCCCTGTGTGTTGACACTGTTACATATGTTGTCCCTGAGTGTTGGTTCTGTTAGATATTTTGTCCCTGTGTGTTGACGCTGTTACATGTGTTGTCCCTGTGTGTTGGTTCTGTTAGATATTTTGTCCCTGAGTGTTGGTACTGTTACATGTTTTGTCCCAGTGTGTTGACGCTGTTACATATGTTGTCACTGAGTGTTGGTACTGTTACATGTTTTGTCCCAGTGTGTTGGTACTGTTACATATTTTGTCCCTGAGTGTTGGTACTGTTCCATGTTTTTTCCCAGTGTGTTGGTGCTGTTTCATATTTTGTCGCAATTTTTGTCATATATTACTGCTACATATTTTTTCCCTGTATGTTGGTGTTATTACATATTTTGTCCCTGTGTGTTGACGCTGTTACATATGTTGTCCCTGAGTGTTGGTACTGTTACATGTTTTGTCCCAGTGTGTTGGTACTGTTACATGTTTTGTCCCAGTGTGTTGACGCTGTTACATATTTTGTCCCTGAGTGTTGGTGCTGTTACATATTTTGTGACAATTTTTGTCATATATTACTGCTACATATTTTTTCCCTGTATGTTGGTACTGTTACATGTTTTGTCCCAGTGTGTTGACGCTGTTACATATTTTGTCCCAGTGTGTTGACGTTGTTACATATTTTGTCCCTGAGTGTTGACGCTGTTACATATTTTGTCCCAGTGTGTTGACGCTGTTACATATTTTGTCCCTGAGTGTTGACGCTGTTACGTATTTTGTCCCTGAGTGTTGGTGCTGTTACATATTTTGTCCCTGTGTGTTGACGGTGTTACATATTTTGTCCATGTGTGTGGACGCTGTTACATGTTTTGTCCCACAGTGTGTTGGTGCTGTTACATTTTTTGTCCCTGTGTGTTGACACACAGGTTGATTTGTACTTTTGTGTCGTCCTTGCATATTGACTTAGCAGTAAAAATTCTGGTATTTGACTTCACTGTCTGAAATATCTATAACAGGCTACTCTCCGGACTGTGCTGTTTTCTATGGTTAATTGATCTAGATATATCTAAACATATGTGTGTACAGTGTCTGTATTTATTATATCTCCCACATATTAGTCGTTTGGTTTTTAATTAATAAAGATTTTGAATCAGAAAATTACAAAAAAAAATTCAGACAAGTATAGCACCACGAGTGTAGAGATTGTCTCCCTTTATGTTCGCGCATAGTGTATATGAAGGAATCTAAACTTGATTGATGTCTTTGATCAAGATAAAATCGAAATGAAATCATTTAGTGTTTTTATATTGAAATAGATCACGTGTAGCGAACTTTATAATCAGTGTTATTAACTACTGTTAAGTTAACTAAGGAGTCTACCATGTATGATAAACGGCCAGTGTGGTCAATGTGCGGCCAGAACTGGGGGAGGCTATAGTAGTTAACAAACTTCACCGCAGCCTCATCGCAAGAGAATAATTTTGGACCTTGTACTAGGTATTATTAGAAAATAAACCCTGTTGCTCACGAGACGTTATAACAAATAAAATAGTAGAAATTATTTACCGATTCAACAGATAGCCGGTGATACGATATTTCCAATGAAGATATGTACAAACTTCAGTGTACTAGGATCGCCAAATACCATTTTACAACAGCAATGTGTATGTCTAAAAACCAACCAGGATATCCGTATTATGGTAGCAAATCCAAGTATAAACATTTACGTCGTACATATAATTGTGGGGTCCTTTGTTTAGGGGCTTGCGTCCACTCAGCAGCTAAGTGGGGTCATGTGAGGAGACAGTCACCAGATAACAGGACCTCTTATAAAGGCCACATAAATTGTCATCTCACTCAATTGTCATGCCCCGGACACGGTGTATCTTAACTTCTCCCAGTCACATTATTCTGAGAACGTGCTGACAAAACATTCCAATAGAACACCGCCGATTACTCTGCATTTCAATATTCCTTGCACCATTAAATCAATTTTCTAAATCTATGAAAAGTTTTGATGTGATATGAAGTGAAAGCTCACTAATTTATCGTAGGGCAATTTAAGTTAATATATAAAGCATCGTACATTGATTTAATAGACTTATTATACAACTGTTGATTTGTATTTATTTATAATTAACATTTATGATTTTGAAACTTGATTTACAATATCTGTTTTATTCAATGTCTAACATGCTTTTTCTAATACGAAATCACAATCTATGCATGATTGCAGTACAATCTTACAAAACTACAAGACATATCAATAATATATGTAAATATATCAATATACGCATTTATGTTCAGTTGATTTATGAGTGTTGATATCCTTGTGGATATACCGTCGTTCGTGTGCTGGCTGTCCTATCACTGTGTTGTTATCAGACCCTAAGAATTTAACACTGATATGCTCCAATTCGCCGAAAGTCTCCAACCCATTACTGTTCTATTTATAGATAGGGGTTTCCGTCGCTGTCGCTAAACATGGCATACATAACGTCGTTGAGTTTGTGGTAAAGATTATATCAACTGTATATCCCGTGGTAAGTACACATGTATCTAAATATTGTCTCCTTCAGTTAAATATCTCATGTATATATATCTGTCAGAAAATAAAACTGAAATTAGTTCAAGTTAAATAGATGACTAGTATTACGGATTTAACCATTTTTATGTCCTGTAAGTACACATATATCAAAAGCTTGTCTCCTTCAGTAAAATATCTCTTTTATATATCTCATACTATGAGAAAAAACTGATATTTGTTCAAGTTAAATAGATGACTAGTATAACAAATTTAACAATTTTTATGTTGTTGCATTTTTAATGCCATTAAATTCTCTTGATATCAGTTTCCATTGATTTACATCAAGATTATAGAATTAGAAAACTTATAATGGCTGTCATTTTGTTAGTAGATAATCATACATAACATACAGATGATGACATTTAAAGAGATGATTATACATAATATATAATCGGTGTTAATTAAGAGATAATTGTACATAGTGTATAAACGAGGTTTTATCCGAGATGATGAGATATAAGGTATAGTGGACGCTATCATATGTAGACATCAATATACAATGTCATGTTTTAACAGCTTTAGAGAAATCACCAAATCACTAGATATTTGAAGAAGAACAATTCACTTAATGAATTATCGTGTGTTTTTCTCCGTTTTTCCTGTCGGTGAGCTAGAGGGTGAACTCAACACGTAAACATCCTTAGTTTGCTTTTGTATTTGTGATCAGTCGATACAATGGTGACGCTTGTAAACAAATTCAGGGGGTTTGTTTCACATCAGAAGAAGTGCTTGTACGTAACCGTTGTCCTTCTGGAGTAATTACATACTGTGCGAATTTGATTTTTAAAGACTATTTAGGGACAATTTTACATGGCAAAGCTATTGGGACTTGCACAAATTTGCCTGTACGCGATTAATGAGTGGCTGATCCATCAACCAAACCCTTCATTAGACACAACTATATTGCACATCAGATTACAAAATGGGGAAAAAACAAGCATACATAGGTAAATGAAACATGAAATAGTTTTGTTATAATGAAAACATGCTTATACCATAGATTATATCTCATAATTAACTAATTTGTTATGTTTTTTGAGTCTGTTGGTCTGTTCATTACAATACACTAGTAAATAAAATTATTAGATATTGCAGGAGAGTACTTTCAGTAAAAATGGAAATTGTATAACGAAAAAGTCTACCCCTTAGTATAGGGTCGGTGGTCTATTGTTCCCTTCAACTTGTTCCGTGCTTTTATTTGACCATTATTTTTTAATGTCAGAATCCATTTGTTGAAAATTGCACTTGTTTTATATAAACATACTGAGCTTATCACAACATAGCATATCTCACTAAATATATTATAATATACTACAGTTTGTGGTCAGATGTGACAAATACACTTAATTTCAATGACTTCATCACTGTTTACTAAAGGTTCTTCCTTGATAAATTAACATGATAAAAACGTCCTACTTTTTCCACCTTCTACAGATCTAGCATAAGTTTATAGAATGTTTATTAATCAAAGGGTTTGGTGATCTGTGAAATAGGTCGTCTAATGTTATATACATACAGGAAAGCATAACAGTAACACTGTGTTACATATAATGTACAAACCTAAATCCTGCCTGTTACCTGTGCATTCCACAACGTTTTATTATGAAAGTGTGCTCGACACACGTAAACAAATGCTAATCAAACACCACGTGTACCTCTCCGTTGGGAATAACCAACAGATATCTGGATTTTACTAGCAGCTCGTCAACCTGACAATTAAGTTTTTGTAGAAACAGGGATTATTTGAGTAAAGAGTCCTAAAGCCTGAATTACTAAAGCTTAATTAGAACTACCCTTTGATTCCAATTGTATAACGAAATTATGTAAGAATCCAGATAGTACATAATGTCTACACAGTATGTAAAGAGGTTCCCCAACGACTGATGATTGGCTATCATGATTATTTAACTCGACTAAGTTAATTTTCAAATTTCAAATTTCAAATTTTCGATGTTAACATAATGTCTTTTGCAATTTGAAATTTAACTTTTGAGAGCTTAGTAAACATGACTAAAAAACATAACGAAAATGTGGACCTTTTTCTCCCAAAACGCTCATATCATAACTAGAACAACAATTCCTTCCCTTAAAATGCATCCTTTCTGTTTCCTACCGGCGTAACTATTGTCATAAATTATGACGTCACAATTGAGATGACGGTTTAAAGCTTTGTTATGTGACATTACTATTCAAAGATTGGCCAATGAAAAATAAGCCAAGGAGTTACCTTCTAATGAATCACCAATGCCTAGCAGGATTATTCAAAGACTGGAAAGTGATGAAACAATTAACGGTTTCGTAAGAAAAGATACTTTAACGTCATTAATCATGAAAATACTCAAAATACAAAGCACAGAAGTCCCCGGATCTACCTTAAGAGTAGGCAGTCCGAACAAAATAACCACTCATAAATAGCCGACCAATGCGAATGCCTTCCGGGTTCCTGGAAACACCCATACGATACAAGCCAACGTTGTTGGTCCTATCAGTCTTACCTGGGACGTTTCCCAGAATACTCCAGTTTTCTTCTCTGTAGAGGTATGCTTTCATTTTTGGTTTATTCTGTGATTTGGAACTAAATATATGACGATGTTTTGCGATACAAATTTATACACTATTTTGTTTCTGATTTTGTTCCAATTGTCCCAGAACAATGTCCAGTGTACATCACTATCCAAGTATTCCTCTCTCGATACACGCGTTATTAACATATATCGTATAGTAAAGACATGAAAATATCAGCATTTGTGTTGACGGTAATCTGTTTAACTACATCAATCGAAAATAATAACTAAATTAGTGCAGTAGTATTCAAATGATGTCTTCTAGTCTCTGGTGATATAGCACTGAGTGAGAGTGTTGTGGATTTGTATCTTACCCTTCCGTTTTTACAGATTATTTTTCCTTTTGTGCAAGATGTCTGTTCTTGTATTGTTTTGCCTTTTTCCAATTGATCTCTTTTTCCAATGTATCTCTTTCGAAGTCAACATTACGTAATGTTCTTGTTTTATCTCTGTGATATACAACATGGTATATTTGGTTTAGGGTAGGTTAGACAAGGCTGGTGTTATCTCTGTGATATACAACATGGTATATTTAGTTAAGGTTAGGCTAGACAAGGCTTGCATTCAACTGTTTACAAGGGCATTAAGTTAATCAGAACAAAGTAAAACAGTAAAATGTTTTCTTGCAGAGAATGTTTATAAACTGATGTAAGGGTGTGGAATGGTTGATAAGATGCACTGCGTAAGTGTCGTGAAACATGTTTTATGTCTCGTTATTGCAGTAATCAAATTACGCAGTTATGTTGTCTGTAGTAACAATAAGTAATATAAAATTATATACAAAATAATCATATAATCAACAGTCATATTAAACTTCCTGTTTCTATATTTTAACCTGCGAATTTAAAGAATGTATAAATATATTGTTTTTGTCTAAAATGGTCTTAACTCCTGTCAACTATTTTCTGGAAATTTTGTTGGTAATGGTGTTCAAGTGGTTTCAGTAAACACATGCGTCGTTGGTTTATTTTCATTCTCGGAATGACAGGAAATTACTTCCGTTTTATGTTGATACATTCTTCTAGTACTATAAAGAGTAATGAGACACGTTTTAAACAATGACCTAGCAGTGTCAGTGCGTGAACACTTACATCAGGATGTATTAAACCATCAAGGTAAAACGTTAATTGTATTTAGTATAATGAAATGTCTATATAAAACGATAAATGTAAAAATATTACACAGTACACGGGCTAGTGTTAAGTCGTTTTCTGAAGATTATGTAATGTTTATATGATAAAGTTAAATGTTATTATATTACACAGTAAACAGGTTAACGTTCGTTCGTTTTGGATGCTTTATTGCACTTTTATGGACTATTGACATATCTTTTTATTCAGGAAAAGGGTTAAGACATTTTTGATGTCAACGACAGTGCGTACATCTACCAATACTTAAAATACATATGTGTATATATTGGTCAAGTAAACACCCGATAACTCTAAAAGGCTAATGATCACTACATCTGTGGATATTGTGTACACCTTTGTGATCAAACGTTTACATGTGTAACAGCCACTACCATGTTCCTCTACGTTAGCAATTCGTTTGTTTAGGACGAGTCTAATTTTTGATTATCGGAAGGTTTATTTGATACAGCAGTCGCCATTTAAATGTTTATACTGGTAAATGTAGATATTGCTGTGTGCTTTTTATCATTTGCCTTATTACAGTTCGATACATAGAGCTGCATTATGTAATACAGCATAACGCAACTGGTGTATAAATAAAGTAAATAAACTCAGAGTATATAACCGAGAGATAAATAGTCTTTACCTACAATCATATCTGATACACCGGTTCGAGAAAACATATGATAAAATGTATTAATTAAACCTTGCAGAAACCACGATCAAAATCTGAATGGATCATATATTAATAAATCAGCATCTAAACAAAGTTTCCAAACAATAGTGATGACGAAATGAGTTATAAGTGTCATGGATGAGCGGCAAATATGATATACGAAACAAACGTGTCTATTTACTGATGTGATTTGATAATCGTGTGTGTTCTTGTCTGTATGTGATAAAGCCATATCTGAATCACTTACCGACGACTGGATTAAACTAACTTTGATAAAGCATGCAACGACCTATGAAGGCCCTCCTAAAGTTGTTATCAGAGTCATCTTACTTACAGTGTACTTCTGTTATGATAACATCTTAGTTACTGGTATTTTTTTGTCACCTTGGTAACTGTGAACGATAGGTTTTGTAATTGCTGGCGATAGGATATCACCTTGGTAACTAATCTATTAGTATTACATAAGTTACTTGTTACTTGTTTTTTATATCGCATTAGTTAATGGGATTTTGATATCACCTTGGTTACTTTTATCTTTATATCTCTTAAGTTACTTTTATTGTGATATCGCCTTGGTTACTGATGT